TTAATTTTTCCACAGAGAGCTTTAAATTAATTAGTGGTTTACATGCTAACAAAGAATCTGATACATTCATAAATCAATCTAATGCAGAAGGATTACCAGAGGGTGGAAACCTATTCAGTGGGGACCTCACATTCACTTAACGTGGTGGGTTTTTAACAAAAGGGTGCAGGTGTGGAATAGACGGGTACCAGGAAGAGCCCATGATAATCACTTTGCATCACTTAAAGACGCAGCAGGACACATGGTAAATCAGAGCCTAGGGCCCACCCTAAGTGAAACCCATGTAGATATAAAAGGCAGTATCATCCCACTTTAACCTTCACAGCTAAATTGCCAGAGTGGTACAATTTCTTTTGTGTAAGTTACAGGCCACTGAACTAATGGAAAATAGAGTAGAATTAAAGGACTTGGATGCAGAAGTACAAACTAACAGAGCTGTGTAACATATATGTAAATAAAGGTATCAAATTAAAAATTTAACATTTTTTTCTGGGTAATTATTAAATGAATCCAAGTTATTAAAACATGACATAATTGTGTATAGTTTTGGTTCATTTTAGGTTTTTAATCTAGGTTTCTGCCAACACAACACTTAGTCTGCCACGAGAACTCTGCTAATTAACTGTGGCAGCATTTTTCTCATATTTTTCATAATTTGGCACTGTTCACTGTTAAGAAAATTTCACAAAAACGAACACTTTTCTTGGTTTTGTTCTGTGTCCTAACTAAAGGTACAAAGTCATGGACTTAAAGTTTAAAATTTAAAAAAAAAAAAAAAAAAAAAGGACTTTGATGACTAAAGCAGTCTTCAGTCTTTACTATGTTTTGAAATAAACTTGTGATCTATTTTGAAAGCTGCTCATTTTAATAATGGAATCTCTGTCACTGCAGACACCTGCACAGTCTCCATCAAATGCTGTAAGAACTGTACACATATGAAGTGATCTTCTTTTCCTTTAAGAAAAGGTAAAATAGCCTTGATGAGTCAGAAGAAGCATGACAAAGAAAATTGTGGAACATGCACATTAAGAAATTAAAGACCATAAGCAACAGGAAAAGCCGCCCAGCAATCTAGGCTCAGTGCTGCTGAAACTTTCAGTAGATGGATTGGCAGTAGAGTAATTGTGCATTTTGATAATGAACAATCAATATTTACTGATGGTGGTCCATAAACTAAAGAAACCTGAGCAATTGTCAGGTATTCAGTCTGAATTTATTCAGTTCTCCTAATTCAAGTAATTTATAAATACATACTCACTCGATCCTACACACAAGGTACCAGATTTTCCATATAGCCATATGGAAAAAACATATTACAGGTTATTCGTATGTTTTTGGTGATAAACATTTATCTTGAAATGCAGTATCTCCATTTAATCTTCTATAGTACCTTCCAGTAATTATCTACTTCCAGTAATAAATCAGTCATGAAAAATGTAACTCTGGGACATATTAAAAAACACATTTCTTACAGGGAGTGCTGTGGCGCAGACACACTGGCATCGCATACAGTACACACTGCCTGATCTTCAACCTCAGCTGAAGTCTCCTCTGAAAAATGTCTCCTCACAAACATTCATTTCATCATCACTCACCATATGTTATTTATACAGATGTGCAAACCCATTTTTGAGCAAAGATACCACAGCTTAAATAGTTTCTACAGTACATGGTCCATATCTGTTTTTCATTAGTGATTTTATGTACGCATCCACCTCGCTGCAGCGGTTCCTGTGACGCTGGGCGAACCCGAGCACCAGGAGCCTTTCCCGCCCATCGCTTCCAAGGACGACATGCAAAAAGACAACAGCTGGTTGCAGGTTACAGCAAATGCTAACTGACGACCCCCCCGTGCAGGGAAGCAAATCCTAAATAGCATATTCTCCCCTTGATTTGTGCTAGGAAGGCAACAGGGAAGAGTATCCACAGCTTTCTCACACTGATCAAAAAGGTGCCAAATGGGAAGCAGGAAGGACAGGGCAAACCCACTGCACCATGTGTCCCTCCAGCACGCCGGTGGCAGGGCAGCACACACGGGGACAGGGCACACACTCCCTGCTCACTCACTCTGCTCACCCTAAAAACGGGTGTGGGTTGACATAACGTGGTCACCTCTTACCCTCATGACCTATCTGTGACTGCAAAACCCAAATAAAACGTATTTTTTGAAAAGAAGCAAGAAACACTAGTGCAGTATTAAAGGAGGTGCCATCCTGCAAAAGGCTTGCGTGATGTTTTGCACAGTTCCCGGGACGCAGGGTAGCAGCGTGGCAGCACGGCTCCTCATGCTCTCTGCCCCGCTTCACGCCTGGTATAAGAAATGCTCTCCACGAGACTGAGCGAGACATTAAAGGTAGCATGTGCTGTCATCTGTGCCCTTCCCAAATGAAGGAGTTAGTTCACCAAAAACCTTCATGTCAATCTAAGTAGCACAACAAACAAAAAAGAAAATGGGAGTAAGTAAAGGCTATTAGCTAATTAGTGATTAAATAAAGCTGTGGCCTGTCACTGACTGCGTTGGCAGGGAGGCTGCGGGGGATGCCATCCCTTTTATCCAGAGTCGCAGCTGGTGACAGCACAGCAAAACCCCTCGGGCGCCCTGCAGCTGACTGGTGCCACTGCCCGGCATCCTTGCCACCAGCCCCAGAGGACTCTGTGCTGTCCCCAGGGGGATGTCCGTCACACCAAAGAGAGCAGCACATGCGATTCGGTACCCTGTGGGCATGCTGCTGGCTGCCAGCACTTCTCCAGGGAAAGCCTTGCCACTTGCCAAAGGCTTGCTTGCTCAGAATCCCTCGCCAAAATTTTGCTGTGAACCTTTCTAAAGTATTTGCCCCGAAACTGGTATGTGCTGCAGGCTCCTTGCTGCACTCCCCGAGAACGCAGCATACACAAGTTACTTCACCCCTGGCCTCCCCCGTGTTCAAATACTCCATCTCCTGGACCCTTACTGCTCCTGTGCTGCTCACAGCCAAGCAAGTTCATTAATGTTAATTAATGACTGCTGTGTTTCATATTAAAATCACCAGTTCTGAGCTCTGAGACACAAAGAAGTTTCCATACATCAAGAGCTTCAAAGCAATTGTCTCCACGGGCGCACTCGTCCTTGGCCATAGTTGCAAGATAATTGTGGAAATTACCCCTCAGGAAAGAGAAGAAAAACTACCTAGTATTTACCTTGGAGGAAGATTGCACCCCCAGAGAGCTACCTATCAGCTCCTAATGGGTTACAACACTCAGCCTCTCAACAAAGTATACAAAATTCCACTCTGGTTAGCAGGGCTATGTGATTAATCCCACCAGCCCATAGTAAAAGGCACAAGAAGTGTCCGACCCTCATGAGATGAAGCCACAAGGTGGGTGCATATACCAAAAGCATTACCAGGTCTAGAAGGTTAATCAATATTGCTCGTTTCATAAAGTCTTGAATTATTCCACTAAGTATAGATTACACTTAATATGTTATTTTATTTCTATGCCTCCATGGGAAAGCTAGTTTAAAAAAATTAAAGGAAACATTTCTAATAGAGTAAACAGCTCTCCAGACTTTGATAATTGTTTACACTGAAAACTAAAATGCAACTGCAAATCCAATGCCCGGTCTTTGCCATTCTGCCTCAGGCAAAATTCCTCCTGGAGGCAGCAGGAGCTTTATCTCAGTCACAGACTTGGATTACAGCTTAACCTGATAAAAGTTTGTTCTCAGTTCCTACAGGACTTCTGCCCCGATACACACAAAACACTACCCAGTGGCCAGTCTTCCCAACTGCTTAAACCCCGTCTCAGACTCTTCTGGTGGCCAACCCAGCCATGCTGCAGACCCAAGGGCAGGCGCATCAGGGTGTTGGGATGGGAGAGGGCAGCAGCTCCCACAGCTGAGCTGGGCACGCAGCGGGGGCTCGGGGCAAGTCAGCAATATCTGCCTGAGCAAACCCCACTCATCTCCCTCCCTTCACTACCAGGCATTTAGAGCCCCCCAAAAGCCCCTGATCCAGCAGAGCCCCCACAAGACACCACCAGCTCTTCTGGAGCCGTGTGTGGCCATGGTGAGAGCAATAGATTCATGGCAGGTTTTTCTCACCTGCCACTTAACGTCCCTCCAAATCTCATTTCATTGTATTAATCACTAATAATGATTTATAAAATGCAGATGGGATTTTAAGGACCCTGCATCTCACAACTAAGAGAGCATCCACTCCCCAGAGACCCTCTACAGCTTCTCTCCATCTAAGTGAAACAAACTTTGGACCAAACTCTCTCACAGCCAACTACGCAACTCACTCAAATGAGTAGCAGTTTCACAAGTATGTTCAAGGGGACTGGTCTGGGTTTTAAGGTTTTTGAACGGGTCTGCTTTATCCCATTGAAGCCTAAGACATTTTATCTGAAGACAGGGACAAACAAACTCCTTAACAGATGGGAAGAGTTCCTTAGATATTAAGTAATTAAGCACACTCAGCACATGTGGGCTCCTAAAGAAAATTGTTTTGAAGAGATAAGGCACTCTACAATAAATTGAGATTTGCGGTTAACCAAAAATCCGCCATTTTAACTTTTGCTCACAAGCCTAATCTCATAAATTGCTACATGAAAAAGGAAGATATAAGGAGCATTACATGATTTACAAAATTATCAGATTGAGGTTTTTTTAAGCTTCCATGTCTGGATTCTTCCATTTTTCTGCAGCTGGCTAAGATTTAACAGGCAAGTAAATCTACTGCATTTTGATCTGAAATTGCCTTTCCGTGCTTGCCTTGCTTCCAATTCCAGTAAGCACCATCAGCAGGGAAAAGGAAACAGCTTTTCTCTACTGCAGCTCTTCCAAGGAAGACAAGATAGAGCCTTGAGTTTCCTCAGATTTATGAATACTTCGTTGGCAACCCATCATTATGTCCAAGACAGCCTTAATGCTCCGGTGACCATCTTCAGCAAGACAAAATGCACCTAAGGCCTGAAGTAGTAAGACAAGAATTGCAAACCAGCGAGTTGCCGCAGCTTACCATTGCTCCTTCACTCTTACTTTGTGCAACTTCTCGCTGCAGCCGAGCCACAGACAGCTTCTCCCTATGGAAAGAAAAGCGTGTGAATAGCAGTTCATTTTTCACTGGCGGAGAGAACGCACCGCTTCCCCGTTGGGGTGGCATTCCTGGACATCGCTTGGGTAACCCTCCCGGCAGACCCTACTCTCCTCGCCATGTTTCTCCGCAATATTTAGCGGCTGCGTTATTGTTTCATTTTGTGGCAGTTTGACAGAACTGTCAATAAATCAACTGAATCTAAACATCATTTGCTCCATTCAAACAACAAAGTAGCTCATCACGCTGGCGATATGGAAACAGACTGTGCAAATCAGACCGTGTTATTTATTTTCCTACAGCCTTGCACATCAGCTTTTTTCTGCACTATATTAACACAAGTTGGAAGGCTGTTAGATTATCAATAAATGTATGCATAAAAATGAAATTTAAAAGATCTGTTCTATTCCTAAACATACAGTGCTGCATTTTGTAACTACTGAATTATTAGATATTTTTGTTTTTTAATTAGCCTTTTTTCATATAAGATCCTTACCCAAGTGTTTGGCTTGACTCAGGTAGCAATTAATTTGCTTAATTAAGGATTTGGCGATCACAACACACTTTTTCCTGAAAAGTTGTAAGAAAGGAATGAAAGTAGGGTTTTAGTATACGTAGAAACAGAAAGAGATTTTCACAGTGTATGGACTGGGAAAACGTCGCACGTACCAAGTATGTGAACTGCAAAACCTCGACAGCGGAAGGTGGTGCAGGAACCGACCACTGCAGGAGGGGTATGGGAAGAGAAGAATTTGCCCTGGAAGCTCAGCAAAGCAGAAAATACTTTACAGAACAAGTGGGACTTAAGCAACCTACCATAATTTTAAAAGGATTTAAGAAAAACAAAGACACTTTTTCAAGTAGGCTATTTTTAAAGAAGAATACCTATTTTTGAAAGAAAAGCGCCCTGCAGAAACATCAGAGGAATTTATCAGCACGTGAAGAATTTACCAGTACACAACAAAACATAAATTTGCAGATTAATAAATTATTTACAAAAGATGATCAGCTTTGAAAACTTCCACCAGAAGGATTTTTAAATCAGAATATATCCATTACCAAGTTTGAAATTTTCCATATACTCGTGTTTTGCCCAGAAATTCTACTTGGTCTAATTGGAAAGACAGACCTGAACCATCCCAGTGCAGCATCCTGGCACTTACCTGGGATATTTAAAATCTCTGCCCCAGTGACTACTTAGTATAATGTAAATTTAAGAGTGCCAATGGCTCAGGCCTGCTGAGACATGGCAGTGTGCAGGCAGTGTCTGCCCTCGCGCAGCTACTCTGTTTGAGGGCCGGCAGGACTGGCTTCGAGCTGCCCGCGAAGAGCTCTAGCCACGCCGCCCGGCTTTCCTGAGACATTTTGAGCTCAGGAAAGAAAACCTTCCTGCTGTGCACTGCAGTGAAGTATACAAAGTCTTGAAAACGCAGAGACGCATCGCCCAGCTCTCTCACCACAGAGAAAAGCAGGGGCTGGAAACTCCCGTCCCCCAAAAACCTGCAAAGGTGCCCAGCCAGGGCTGAGGGAGGACCCAGCGGCTAATGATCTCCCCAGGCTCTGTAGCCACTCCTGTCATTGACTGGGTCACTCTCATCCAGCATGAAAAGCAAGTGCTCTACGATATTTTATTCCTGACCTTGCAACAAAAGTAGCCCTTAAACCACTTCTGCGAGCCATTTCTCAGGAGCCGTTTCTGCCGAGGAAGGAAGATCTGCGCCTACCTTCCTAATTACTGTGAGAATGACAACACTCATGTCACTCAGCCATAGCTCAACATATGCTTGGGTCACCAAACCTCCCTCCCCGTTTCAGTAGAAGACATGGTATTTAAGTCTCCCTAACAGTCACCTGCCCCCACACGCTTGCTGCCCCCCCCCCCCAAAAATCCCTTTGCAGCCGGCTGGGGGG